TGAGGGGATCAGTCTTGATTTTGGTGTTTGTCAGCCAAATTTTGTTATTTTCAGGGTTTCGTCTTTCCTGTTGAAGTTATCCAGGTATTTGTGGATTTCAATGGCTTAGCTGTGCATTCTAACCTGATAGTTGTTTGCATGATCCAGAATTTCAGTGTTTTCAAATCGCATTTTATGCCCAGGTTTATAATGTGTTCTGCTACTGCTGATTTTTCTGGCTGGCCCAGTCTGCAGTTCCTTGATTCGTGTTCCTTGATTCATGTTTAAACACTGCATTTTGTGGTTCCTTGTAGACTTTTCTGCAGCTGCATGGTAAACTTCTGTTGCTGTGAGAGAGTCCTTCACTGACTGCAGAATTTCTTGGATTTTCTTGGTCGGTTTGTAGACCATTTGGAGGTTGTGTTTCATCATCAGTTTCCCTATTCTGTCTGACTCCTTTGATGTATGGTAAAAAAAATACCTTCCCTTTGGGTGGTTGTTTTTCTTCACTCCTGTGAAGCCACTAAGCCTGGCTGCTCTTCTGATGTCTGAAATGGAGTAACTTGAGAAACACTTTGGTTGGCACTCTGCCAGGCTGCAAAGATGGATTTGGGAAAGGTGCCACTGTCAGTCATAACTATGAAGATGGAGCTCCATCATCACTATTATGATGATGATTCGGGACCGCACCCAGATATTTATATAAAAAACATAAATCAGACTTAGCTTCCATGATCAGATGGGATCTGGTGCCTTTTGGGTAACAGTTGTGGTACTGGAAGCTGGACAATATCATGGGGAAAACCTTCCCCTTTCCTTGGATAAAACAAGCTTAGAATTGTTGTTGTTGGTATTCATAATAGACATCTTGATAACAGGGCTATGCAAATGGGCAGGAAAAGGTGACCTGAATTTGCCTTTTCCCCAAACTGCAGCAACCGCATCACCTGCCCTGAGGTTACCCTAAATGGGGACGGAGCAACCGCACTGGGGGCCAGTTAATGCAGCTTTTCCAAGGCTGCAGTGAAGCCTCATCACCCACACTGCTGGCCCCAAGGTTTCCCTAAATAGGAATGCAGTAACCGCATGGGCTGGCAGCAGCAGTTTTAATTTTTTTTCCATTCTCTGCAGCGCATGTGCACATGAACAGACACAACACGGCCCCTTTAATAGAAATGTTGGCATCACTAAGGACCTGTGCACTGTGTACTGTAGAGAAATCATGGCTGCCATGGCAATTGAGTTGTCCGCACTGGTACTCAGCCTGTAATGCACGGCCACAGGAGCCTCTGCCATGGTCCCTGCTGCAGATGCATTCATACAAGACTGCAGTGGTGACTTGAAGGACCCAGAAGTGAGACCTGGTAGAGCGGGTGCCACAAGACACAT